AAGACCAAAGATGGTATTTTTTTCTGTTCTACCTCATGGCTCCAAAGCCCAGTGATTTTTAGCTTTAAATTACATATTTGGTCCCTCCCTTAAATATGGTGGGAAGGGCTGAGGTCTGCTTGCTTTGAAAGGAGTTCATACAACTAGCCAGGTTCTGCATTCATTATGGACATTGTGTGTTTGCATTGGTCTTTATGGGAAAGATATAGACTTGTTTAAAAAATCAGAACTCATGTAAGGTGGTCCTATAGCATAAATCCATTTGCATGATCAGTGATGCATAGATCCCTGTTTTCTTCCCAGGGCAAATGGCCTTCACTATGTACTGGTGCCAGCCCAATCAGTGTCACTGGAAATTGTCTTCAGATGCCTTTTCTACTTTTTCCTGTGTGCTACTCATCCTGAGATATGAACTGTAGCCCCAATAAAGGCAGAAGGGCACAGTCCTGGAAGGTGTGAGGACCTGAGGGAGAAGAGAAGCGTCACAACTTGTCCAGCAGACTTTCCCACGCAGCGTAGGAGAGCTCTGATAGCCCAGAGCCCTTCAGAAGTACCAGCCAGCACTCTCTGCTGCAGAGGACCAGCCCAGCTTGCTAGCGGACATCACCAAAGGCGCAGGCAGGTGATCAGTCAGGAATATGCAAAGCTTCTTGGCAATAGGAGCATTTAAAGCAGATCTAAAAGCCAACCCCACGCTGGAAGATGCGGAGTTGCTAGGACTGTCGTTCCAGATTACAGACCCGGTGGCACAACGAGAAAGCTCAGAGCATATTACTTTCAGAGAGGGCTTATTATATCAGCTGGAAACTAGACTTAATTTAAAAGTCTGAAGTCTAGCACAGATTCCTCTGGGATAGCACTGCCAGCAGATGCTATTTTCAATACGAACTGCAAGCATTTGTGCTTTCATGGTGTAAGCCTGGTGTAGGCAGATGAGAAAGGATTTCTCATCATCACAGGAAGACCCGACTGCACTGTTCTCCTGAGGACCTGGTCAAACGTAATGACACAATTCCCCTCCTCTCACATCTCTGGCCCTTATCTTCACATTTAGAGATGCCAGGACTTGGACGCTCTGACCCAGTTTTCCTGCACTTTCTCATATTTTCAAGAGGCTGAGAGATTGATTTGTCTTTACGATGATCTTCAGGACATAGACATTATAAACTTGGGTGTTTCTGCAGAGTGCTTTGCTATAGGGATTTTAGGTGCCATATTATTTCCTAGTTTCCTGATGTGCCCATGACTTTCTATATGTTGATAGTTTATCACCATGATCCTTACATAGTATTGACCATAGGCCCTAATCTAAATCTATAACAAGTAAAAATTCATTCATCCTTCAGATAAGGCAGGAAGACACAAAGAAATTAGTGGGCTTGCTGAAGGTCACATTGGGATTGCTGCAGCTGAATCAGAATTGTATTTTTCATAACTGTAATCTATGGCCTCTTCAATATAGATAGGTACTGAGTTCAAATCTTCCTTAAAATATCATTCTGGGATTTCTGAAGTCTAGTTAAAAAGTATCATTTTTATATATTTTTGTTTTAAAATATGTAGACTATTCTTAAGGGGTTTATTTATTTAAGTTTTGCTTTTAAAGTCACCTTAAAGTAATCATTTATTGATATTTCAATTCTATTTTTCCCTACATTCTCTTCTCTATTTTTGACCCTGTCTCCAAAATTGCCAAAACTAGAAATATTTTTTAGATAAGAAAGAGGCCAAGGGACAAATCAGATGGGACAATAACCCTACTGGAAGTCTCTGCTAGTTAGTAAAGTCCCATGATTTCTAGTTGGAAGATTTTCCATTAAAGATTTTGGATAGCGTTTTAATAAAACTATGTAGAAAAAGGGTTATGTCTCATTTTACCAATAATCTCTGGAGATTATTTAATATTCTGGGGAAATAGGGGTTCTACAAGATTCCTTAGTAGTTTTTTTCCATATCTTATCCATTCATAGTAAGAAAGATCTTCCCAATGCCTATTCTGAATCCTTCTTTCATAGTCAGTTAGCAGCAAGAAAGAAAATGGATTTGCAAAGATGCACCTTTAAGCTATGTTGACTACTCCTTTTGAGTTATTTTCCTTGCAAAATAAAGAGCCCCTACCCATTTGGGGATAAGTAAAATGGAAGTAATTTAATTTTATCATTTTAGGTGGGTTTGAACTTTAAATCATCTCCTGGAAATGAGAAACCTGAAGAAATAGGGTTTTTTGGTTTTTTTTTTTTTTTTTTTTTTTACATCATTTTCAATTTGGTATAGCTTTTCAGTTTTACAGTCTAACATTTTGTCCTATAATGTAGGCAAGTAGTTTAGAGCCCTGCATGAAGCTTAGACCCAACACAGAAGGAATCATCAAAGATCCTTGGGAAAATCTTTCCTTAAAAGCTGGAATAGAAAGGCCCGGTATGCTCAGCTCTTCAAAAACTTGGTGAACTGCCTATGACACCTGAGCCACATTTGCCCCCAAAACTCAGCCCGGAAAATAGCTCACCCTTCTGTTTGACAGCTGCTGTCCAAAGATACTTGCATTGGACTGGAGAACTGGTCCATAATACTCGGGCATCAGAAGGCAAGTGGCAGGGCTGTACCACACCTATTCCGGGCATCTTCCTGCAAGCTCTGCTAAGGACTCATATGTCACTGAGCAAGGAAAGAAATGTGCCTCTGCCTGAACCTAGTCACATAGCTGGTCCCAGTTGAGAAAATGTCTAGAGCACAAAGAAGTAAGGGAGGGCCTGAGGGATCTTTGAAAGACCATGAGGTCCGTAGGGAAGAGAGAACAGGTCGGCTCCTCCTCTCATGTGCTCCCCTCCCCGGGGCTGCTCTGGCAGCAGAGCCAGATGGAAATGTCCCTGAATGCAGAATGTTTTATTCGCCCTGGTCTACACTCCTGTCTTATACCGTGAAAGCTCCTTGGTAACAAGATGCAGAGGTTCTTTTCATTTTTAATTGAATCCTAAGAGGTATATATATTTTTTTCTAGAGGTGCCAGCTTAAAGTAATTACTAGAATCCCCAACAGGGCTAATCAGAGATTCATAGAAAATAAAGATGGAGGAGCAGCTCTTCCCCCTTGGGTTTCCTTCATCCTGCTCAGAAGGCTCCCGCCACCCAGGCCGAACATCACAGTTCTTGGCATGGCAGTCTATTAATAAGTGCCTCGAAATAAACCCCAGCCCAGTGAGATAAGAGAAACTGATTTCCCGGCCCAGGTATCTCTCCTCTGGATGACTAGACAGCACTTTCATCAGCTGTTTATCAAAATCAGCTTAGTTAAAGCTGTTTGCGCCTGCCTTGGTCTTGAATTACAAATGCCTTTCATGGGCTGTTTGAGCAAATTACCAGTGACCTATAGATGAACTATCCTTTGTGTTCCCTGCACCTCTTATTGAACTTATAACTTCCCAAAGACCACAAGCGCTAAGTCTCATTGGTCGTTGTACGTTAGGGGAGACCAGCTCGACTCCGTGGGGCTGTGGGTCATCATAGATTCTATCTTTGTAATAAATCATAAGTCACTAATGGGTTATTTTGAGCTCTCCCAAGTGGAAGACAATGGAGCATTTAGTAGGTTGTGGAGTTACATAAGATGTCTCTTTCCAAACAAAGAAGAGGCAAGACACCCAGCCAAAGGGTTGAGCGCAGGAGGCTGTGTGGTCTGGTGGTTCCAGGGAGAGATGTGGGGCCAGGGCTTCCTGGGCTCAGCTACCAGCCGAGACTCTGACTCAGGGGGAAGTGGAGCCAAGTCTCTTGGCTTGAGGCAGATAGACTGTAAAACCAGGAGAGGCAAAAACCGCAGGTCTGTGCTCAAGGACTCAGGGGAAAAACACATTTTGGAAATTAAAAAAAAAAAAAAAAAAGGAAAGGAAAGGAAAAAAAAATCATCACCCTGTTAAGTTACAATTTGGGACTTTTTCAACCAGAAGTGAGCATTTTTCCTGCTTATTGGCCAACACATCCTGCTCTGGGCAGCAGTGGAAAGCCGGGCCAGTGTTTGAGGGTGTTCTGTGTGGGATGAATAGAGAAGCCTTCGGGTTGGAGCAGAGTTAGTCAACCTTGGTGAGTTGTCACAAGTCAGGCTCAGGGAGCCAGGCACTCAGGGCAAAGACGTTCTGCATGAATTCCTCCCCTCTGCTCCTTCTGCCTGCCACGGTAAATGCCCTGTGAAACTGGGGGAGGAAAAATCCCTTCCCTCTGACTTTCTGGATGCCTCCTTTCAGGCAGCAGAGGTCTGCTCGCAAGTAACCAGCAGCCTGCTAAGGCGCAGACACACAGCAGAGCTGGGGCTGATCGGAAATGTCCTCCAAGTCCCACCAGCTCTGAAGCTCCGTGCTAACCCTGGTCAGACAGAGTAGGTGCACTCTTCCATGGCAGTGCGTGAGGGACTGCTGGGTGGGTTTCCACTTCTTGGTGTCATGCCTCCTTTCTCTGATCTGCCGAGCTTGCTGATCTTTAGGAAGAGCCTGTGAAAGTCAAACCAATATTTATGGTACTAACCACTAGCAGTTGAGTTAACAATATCTTAGCGTCTCATGGAATTGGGGCAGGGGATGAAGGAAGGACAAAGTTGCTGTGGAATGGGTGGGGTAGGGTGGGGTCTCTTCTTCAGAACAGTAGAGAGAGCCCAAGAGAGGAATAAGACATATGCGCAATAGCTGTCTTGATAATTTTTCCCAGAGCTGTCTGGAGTAACTTTAAAATCAGGTGGTAGGTGGGTGTGAGGTTTATACCAAGATGGTTACTCTTACTGTAACCCAAGTCAGGCCAAATGGGACCCAGGTTTTTGCTTGCGGTCGCCTCTTCTGGACACCGAATGTGATCATGATGTCACTCTTCTCTACATTTGCCCACACGCATGTTCCCAGCCCCTAGCTCAATAGCCAAGACTGATGTCTCAAGTCTTAAGTGTTCAGGGTTAAAATGAAGTAAACCCCCCTCTCTTTTAGAAATGGTATGCCATCTTTCTGTCCCTTTTTGTCAATGTAGGGGAAAAATATGAATGAAAGACTGAAGGCACTCTGAGGAGCATTCTCTATTCAGGAAGAGTGAATGGATTCTATTTCGATTGAAAGAAATTAAAAGGAATCCACTGAGGTTAGTAATGGTTTTATTCACATGCTTTCCCAGTCTGTTTTCTCTGTTTCTGACAATTCAGTCCAGGTGACACAGCCCTGTCAGGCCTTTTCTAGGACATCGGTGGTCACACAACCACATGTCTAGGAAGGTGTAGGCGATTAGCTGGGGGTGGACTGTATAAGATGACGGTCATCTTTTCTGGTCACAGTGGCCCTGTCCCCTGTAGTCCTTGAGTCATCTTCTTACTCTCTATAATTACATCTGGTCAGGAAGAGACGACCCAGTGAGAGGGGTCTGCATAGTAAGCAGAAGAGAGCAAACAGGGTGCCCTGCCTAGAAAGACGTAGTCCAAAGCCTCCAGGTTCAGGGTGCCAAGTGCCCCCGAGCTCCTGTGGTTCAGGGTCCCCCGCCCCCTGCCCCAGCGGCTTCCTTGTGGAACAGCAAGAATCAGCTTGCATGCCACATATCAGGATCCAGGCCTCCCATCCTCAGCCATGATCAGAAAGGCTGATTAAAACCAAAGACCTAAGATGCTAAAATCTCTGCAGCACCTGCTTTTTCCAAGAATAACACATGAATACATGTCCGCAGTCCTTTTGGTTACAGGATCTTTCTAATGACTTTCCAAAACAAAAGAAGATGACATCTCTGTACCCATGCTTTGGAAAAACTCAGTAAACATACATAAATATTTGTTAGAAAAAAGTGAAAGAATGAATTGTATTAGAGTTCTCATCCTCATATACTAGTTTTATTTTCACTTTCTATTGGAATTTTAAAAAATACAACACTATCTAATATTAGTCATATACTTTATAAAGACTAATTTATAAATGATAAATTATGATAATTTAATTAATGACCATTAATTATAATTTATCATTTATTATCAATGATAAATTATAAAAACTACTTTATAAATGATGGTGAATAAGATCATCTCTAAAGACTAATTTATAAATGATATGGGTATATCTCATGATGGCTAGGGTCTATCAAAAAATAGATTGCTGGCTGTGTAATTTCAATCAATAAATTGGCTAAAAATTTAAATATTCATGTTAATATTTTTATATCCAGCTTGTGAGCCATCAGTAGGAAAACAGATGCAACTTTAGAGGTAAATCAGATATAGGAGGTTAAATAGTGCATAGTTTTTCTTACATGAGGAACTCAAAATCTAAGCAATTTAGAGAGCAAAATAAAAAATATATGATTAAAAAGTAGGGAGGTAGACTTTGTGGAGATGGGAAAGGCATCTGAGGACAGGGGACATGGGAGGGGGAGAGGAAAAGGGAAAGAAAAAGTGATTAAGATGCAATGTGTATACGTGCCAGTTTCCCAAGATGAACCTAAGTACTATTTATCACAAGCACACACAGAAAAAATAAACAAAAACAAACAAAAGAAAAGCTCCATAAAGATTTGCCTTAAAAAGTTGGGGTGAAGCAGTTTCTATTACATTAAGTTACAAGTTAGGTGAAAAACAAGAAAAAGCTCTCAGGCTCTACTTCTGCCTGAGAGACGGACACATTTAAAAATATCCACGTGGGGAATCCAGCAAGTAGGAATCCAGGCAGCTCGAAATTCTGTGACTTGTATGACCAACAATAAAATTGAGTACTATCATATTTTAAAGGCCGAATTTTTCTAAGGTCCATTTGACAATGTTTCTGGTTTATAGAGAGGGTATCACTAAAAGGGACCACAAAATAGAGCTACTTTTCTAGGTTGATGTCCTGTGATTCAGGACAAATGTCAGAGGCTATGTAGATTAAGCTAAGGAAGACAGAACTCAAATATATAGTAAGTACTCTGCATAAGCCAGTCTATTTGCAAAGTGCTACTCATCCAACCTTTCCCAGGATACTGTGAGTCTTCTCTACTTTCTCTACATGAGAGGAAGCTAAAAACCAAATGCCTTGTTCAAAGTCACACAGCCAATAAACGGCAGCCGGACTGCCAAGCGTGGGACCTGCAACTAGCACTAACCCTACCAAATCCAGCTTTGTGTATGTGTCCTAAATTGTTATTCCTTTTCGCACCCTACAAGTTTGTCTAACTAAACACAAAGAACCACTGCATTTTACACTATAATTAATGTTTAAATTGCCTCTGAGCTGGAAGCAGGGGTCCTTAAATACAGAGGGGAAGGGGAAAAGGCCATCTGCTTTTTTATATGACTCAATGTAGACTGCGACTGACTGTGTGAAACTCAATGGATAGCCCATTCTTTAGGAAGACTTTATTTGACAGTAACTGATACAAATTAAGAATCAGCATCCCAGGTAGCTTTCAAAAGATTTTTTTTTCCAGCTCAGACTCTCTGCCTGGGCAGCAATTACAAACTTGATTTCTGCAATAAAGACAGAGTCCCAAAGCCAAAGAAGTCAAAATAACATTGATTCTTGTCTATTCCCAAGCCAGATTTTTGAAGTCTTCTTAAAGTAAATTCTCACCTGAGAGATTTTATGTGCACAAGTTCATGTGTACCATAGTTACTTAAAAACGTATCCCAACACCGTGTTTTCAGAGACTGTGAAAATTTTATTAAGAAAATCTGTAGTATACACATCTTCTTTAAAAACAACCACTTCAAGAATGGAGAAACACTTCATTTTCTACTCACTATTTGATCAAGGCCAGAAGAATGAAACCGCAACACCAAAATACAGACCAACGTTTTTGAAGGGGATAATAACAATCATTTGCGATAATAAAGTACTAGAAAATCAGAAGAAACAAATCAAGGTATTCATTTCAAAGGCTCAACCACTAAGCCTTCACCCAAACAAATGTTTCCACTGTGAGTCAATATATCCGGCCATCACATATCTCTATAGACAGTGGACAGCTAAAAACATGATAATCTTTTGAATAAAGTAAAAACTGATAGTCAGTGGATTTGCAGACATATATCACCACATAGCAGGAATTCAGTAACAATCACTAGCACACAGAAAGGTGTGTTTCATGTTTGCAAATGATTGGATCTGCAGGGCAGTTTTTAAGTTTCTGATTATGGTTAAAAGTAACCACTCCACAGCTGTCCCTCAGAATCTCCCTTGGACACCCTTTGTCCCCACCTTCACTAAAGTTTTATAAACGTATTCCAGATACACTGCATGAAAGAAGGGAAGTACAAGAATATGCAAAGATCCTCACGTCTTGGACACGAACAGAAAACACATCCATAATGCATTCTGGCTGTCAGGACAACACACTTGATGTCTATAGCTGGAAACTCCTCAGAAAGAATCATCTGCACTTTTAATCCAAGAAGGAAAAAAAAAAGTTAGGGCTGTCACTTGACTACAGTTTCCAGGGCTCTGGTGTAGCTATACTCGTAGGCACGGTTCCAAGGCGCTGCCTACATAAATTTGGATGGAGCGAGGGAAGCACAGATGGTGGTCACGTGAAGGCACAAGCCGACGGAGTGGGCTCGGTTACAAAGTCTGTACATTTAGGCTGCTGTATTCCTCCTATTTCAAGTCCTGCCAAGTCCTGGCTGTTCCGCTTCTTTCCAAAGTCTTGATTCATTTAATTCTCCTGAAGGAGGTGGGAGAGGAGGAGGATTGCGCAAACCTCACCGTCTTACGGTTTAGAAGAAACAGTCACCATCTTGGCTTCTTGTCAGGTTTTAAATGTAACATTTTGCTAAGCGTAAAGCTGTGTAACTGTTCCTTTTCTGTTGCCCTTATTGTAACTTCAATATTTGCAAAACATAACATCAAAATACTTCAAGTCCAGCCCAAAGCAGTTTGTTATTCATGCAACACAATTCTTACGCATATCAATACACAGTGAGCTTGCGGCAGACGAATTGCTTCTTTCTTTTCTGTTCTGTTCTTTTTTTCTTTGGGGATTTAAAAGGCTTTGATTACACAATAATAAAAATCCCTGTTATGTATGCATACATATGTGTGTGTCCTGACTAGTATACATATTATTATCAAACCTATTAACTATCTCAGCTCTTTTTGGTTGCATTATTTAGAAAAAGGAAGCATACACGCTAAAGGTAATCTTCTACGTAAAATACCCTGTGAATCATCTGTAAAGCATAGAGCACCGTAGTGATGTGGAGAATCTTAATTTTCTAATATAAAATTTTGTAGAGTTCACTATAAAGAAAAGTTGATAAAGGTATTCAGGATGGGCTTCCAGCGGTGCCTGGGTTCATAGTAAATAGCATTAAAGCATGGTTATCTTGCTCTGTAAAAGCCTACAACGTTTCAGATTCTTGATCATTTTCTTCTTTATATAGGAAACCTTATCAAAAACCAAAGTGGAATCAATTATTGGGATTGTTCTTAACAGAACACCAAGGATTTTCCAGGTCGCATCCAAGAGGCTTGGTGCTCGGCCAATGATATTTTTTGCGATCAATTCTGCTCTAGAATTTTATCCACCGAGTTGTCCAATATGCTCTCTTGCCTGAGCTAATGCATAGCATGGCCATTTTTAAAGAGAGTTAAAACACAAAAAAAGGTTTTCACATCTGTTAATCAGATGCCTTATCTGGAGGACATAAAAGATATTTATAATCCTCCAAGTTACGGTCTAAACATTTTCCTTTTCATTTGAGTATTTTTATTGTGCAACACTGACACCATTATCACAACTGATGGAATTGTTCATGTATCCTCATAGGCAAATGAGAAAAAGTTTTCCTTTTAGGGTGGAATTTCATGCTCAGGAAAGTTTATCAATAGGCAATGTAGCAAGGCAAAAGGAGCTCAATTCTTCCCTTGAATTTCTGCTTTCAACATAGAGTACTAATAGCGAAATTCTTGATAGCATTTATGCTGTCTGAATTTTCATTTTTAGCTCCTTCCTTAAAACACTGAAATTATTCAGGATTTAATAACATTAGCACCATGATAGGTTATGTGTGCTTTAAGCCTTAGTTAATTAAAAACAAAACAAGACTACTGCCTCCAAGACCATGGACATATTACTCAAAGAAGGACATCAAAACATTACTTTGAGTCTACAGTTGGACTGCAGATAAATCAATAAAAGGGCTGCCTATCAAATACAGTTTTATGAATAAAACTCATCTCCATTACCAATTTCCCTGAAAGGTGCATGGTTGCCAAGAGAGATACTTTTCAACATATCACAAATGTGCTGTTTGTATAAACATTTCCCATGACAAATGCTTTTTCTGTTTGTTTGTTTGTTTAAATGAATGCTTCTTTTTTTTTGTTACCAGGAATTGAACTCAGGACCTTACACTTGCAATTCAGGCGCTTGTGCCACTGAACTATATCCCCAGCCCTACATGAGTGCTTTTAACCTGAGCATTAGGGACAAAATGTTTTTTCATATGCTGCTTGGCTTCTAGGTGGTGGGAGAAAAGTATCTTTCGGCATGTTCTCTTGTGAGAGTAATTTCTCTTAACACCAACATCTCTGCCTGAGTACAGCCAGAGCTCATTAAATAGACTTCTGAGCATAATTATAATTAACAATTAGCTAGAAATTAGTTTTAATGATTTGTTTTAGAAGATAGAATAGAAGCACAATGTAATTATTTTTAAACCTTCTACATCATTAAGAATACAGCTACCACTACCTTCAATTATGGAGAATCAGACAAGCATCCCCAAGCATTTAGCAAGTGATCTACTTAACAGAAGCCAACGAAGGGAGCCCCAAATGTGGCGCCCCAGCCCAGGTGTTCATGATGATTTAGCCTACTGCAAAATCTATTCCTTTTCTACTCTGCTTTTGAAAGTGATCGTGGCCTGCAGCCATGTCTGCCAGGGACAATAAAGACATTCACCCTGGACGCTGAGCTCTTCCCTTGCTGCTGCCTTTCAGGGAGACATTGTGAAGATAATGATGAGAGGTGAGAAGGAGTAGAAGATTCTACAAAACCTAGTAAGTGGGCCAGAATTGCCGGTTCTCATCACTGAACTGGACAAGCAGGAAAGAAGGTTATATAAGTAATGGATAAAATGAGTGTTAGCAATAAACCCCACACTCCAAAGATAGATCTGTGTCATTCTTTCCCTGTTCAGTATTCTTCCAATTTTTAATATCCAACAAATCAATTTGGATCTTGTCCCCGACCCCAAGAATTTTTAAAAATACAATAGAAACCTGAAGAAATGCTCTTTGTTTTGTGAAAAAAATATAAAAATATTCACTTAGAGCAGCGAAGAGTATTTACTGTCAAAAGTTTTCTCTTTTCTCTAAAAAAATTCTTGTTCTTCTCAGCTCGTCAGTGTGCTGTTTTCTCTGTCACCTCAGAGGGAGACAGTTAGGCCTTTTGCTGCTGGCCTTCAGAAGCTGTCAGGGAACACAGCCTGACACCCACATAGAAGACCTGGTACCTGTGTTTCCACATCACAAAGCAGGCCAGCAAGCACACGAGGCCGCAGACCAGGTTAAGGATCATCTGGATGAGTAAGAACAGTTTGAAAGTGCCGGTGACGCTGGTACAGTCCGTCACATCCCGGTAAACAAAGGTCCTGCTGAGTGGCTCTGAGGAGGGCAGTTTGCAGTGGCAGGAGTCGAGCGTGGGCTCGCAGGTAAACTGTGACAGCTGCAAATAGTGGTGGGCCGCGAACGCCACGGCCAGCACACAGACGGTCAGGCCCACGGCGCTCAGCAGGAAGTACAACAGCTGCAAGAAAGCAGAAGAAAACCTTTCTGAGTACAAAGACCATTAGACGGCTGTTTGCAAAGTTCATTAACAAACACTGTTCTTTTTGTCCTCTCTCAGGAAGTCCTCAGGTGGAAGGGCTGTCTCTCCTCAGAAACATAGCACCAAAGACATGAAAATAGTTTCATGTTTATTTATTAGGGAGCAATTATTAAACCCTGATCTCACTTCCATTTGCCATACAGATGTTGGACCCTTTTCCTGAATTGTACCAACTGCATTAGCTTGACTGTGGGATGTTTATGTCTAGATGTAGCATGCAGTCTAATTGAATACCAAACAGGATAGCCATTCCTGGATAACAGATTGCGCTTATTTTGAAATCAGGAATTGCTAAGAGTAAGATTGAAATAAGACTAGGGGATGGAGAGTAGGTTTCTGTAATGTAAACACTGCTTTGGCTAAAACTGTCAGTGACAGGTCAACCAACAATACAGATTAATAAAAAAGACTGTATTGTATGTAATAGTTGGGCCGGGGATTTAGCTCAGTGGCATAGCGCCTGCCTGGCAAGTGCAAGGTCCTGAGTTCAATTCCCGGTACCAAAAAAAACAAAAACAAAAACAAAAAGTAGATGTAATAGTTGTCAGACTACATCCATCATGCCAGGCACCCCAGCAAAATATGCTGGGAGAAGAAAATTATGGCTCTGGAAATCAAGTTACTTGATATCTGCTTCATCATTGGTCTTATCCCAAGTTCAACTATAATGAGGAAATCCCTGAACTAAAATAAATTCTAAAAGGTTCCCTGAGCACCAAAGTCCTGAGCACTGCTGTCCTACATGGTAGCCTCAGGACTAGTGATGTCTGGCTAAAGTTCTAATTCCACCATGAACAAACAGTAGAATCTATGAACAAGTTATTTAGCCGACTTGCATCTGAGATAATGTTGATCAAACACTGCAGGTCTTCACTGAGATGGTCCTAATAAAATCTGTTGTACAGAAAAAGAAAAGTTCCTAGGATTGGGCTCACTGACCGGAAGCATTTCTCTAGATGTTCCACCTGCTGAGGGTCTAGATACGGCCAAGGATTCCTCAGATTTTGGAAGTGTGCTTAGTTCACAGTGCAAGATTTGTGATCTCAGAGTCAAAAGTTGCAAAGAGCAATTCTGGCGCATGAGAAGTCCCCAAAGTAAGATTTGTTCCAGTTACTTCCAGGTTCAGATTAAAGGAGCCCATAAAAGATTATGCCCTCTTCCTACTCCCAATTATATATAACTCAAAAAAATATTTTAAAATATGAATATATGTGCATCAAAGTCTGCCAAATGAGTAATTTTTCACAGTAAAAATTTCAAGTGTTTTTAAGTCTTACATTCAGAACAAATTTTTAATTAATTTTTCTTGAGTCGTGTGCATGTACATGTGTGTGTTTGCTAGTGCCCTAAACATGTGTCTGGTTTGCCTGGAAATGAATTCATCAGAGATCACATACAGTTTGACTGCATAGTTGAGGTATGGAAGAGAATGTAATTGGTTAATGCCACCTTTGTCTTAAGCATCTTCATATGTCTTCACTAAGGGGTGCATGTGTTCTTTGAATCTTCTCAGGAAAGGTGTCTTTTCAGATTATTCTGAGGTTGTCAGAAGAAACCCAAGTATCTTCACCTGTGATACCATTTCTAGAACATGATATATCTCAGGAACCTAACAAAAATAGTTTATAGTCAGCATGTTTAGTATTCCTTGGAGAAAGGGAGCAGATAAATACAAAGTGGCAGCTTTATGGAATTTGAAAAGGAACTATTTACTCTGTGATATTGAAATCAGTCCTTTGGTCCTATCCCCAACATAGGCAGTGAGGATATTTATTCAAAAATAGAATGTACAGGCTTAAGAGTACCAGGTTCTTTGGGGGGTTGTTCTGAAACATTCAGGCTTGATTGACTTTATTTATTTATTTAGACAGGCTCTCATGATGCAGTTCAGGCTGACCTTGAACTCACTATGTAGCCCAGACTGGCCTCGAACTCACAGTGATGCTTCTACCCCAGCCTCCTGAGCACTGGGTTACAGGTGTGCACCATCACACCCTGCATGATTGATATTAAACTTCGTGCCAACAGTCAAACTGCACTGGCCATGTTGGCATGCACACCCCTGGCAGCTGTGTCTCCAGTGTGCCCAGAGACAGCTGGAAATCATGGGCTGTGGAACATCAGTAGATCATGAGTCCCAGGAGGGAAGTCTCAAGTTAGTGATAACTTCCTACCTGGTTGTTACCTGCTCAGTGGAATGGCCTCAGACAGAGTTTTCTTTATATATTTTATTGTCATCAATGGATGAAACTGGGAGGTCTTGTAACTATTCTCCTAACCTCAACACATACACACAAATTATTTATTTTTGTGAAATAAACAAATTGGTAAAGAAGGAACGAGCTTCTAGTCCTCAGGCTTCTTTGCAATCACCTCTTTGTCTCTGTCTTCTCTGTTGTAGGAGTAACAACGCATCCTTGGCTTGCAGGATGGATGAAAACATTGACATAAACAGTGATTGTTCAATTTTACTTGAGCTTCGTTTAGATATGCTAGAAGCTAGCAAGCCCACAAAGTAAAACCATACTCCTTAGCTCCTTGGAATGATAGCAGATTTTAAAAAATTTTATATTAAAGAGAAGAAAAAACCCCAAATTTCAAAACACATTACTAGGAGGGTGACAATGGTTAATACATTGTGTGTTGTTATCTTTAAATTAGTTACTCAGAGTACAAGATATTGGCATTCAACTGTCCAAACAATATTAATCCATACCTTTCTTTTCAATGAACTAATAGCAATTAGTCGTATAACTATTTCAACTCTTTTATATATATAATAATGTTATATATACATTTTTTCTCTTCCTTCTTTTCTCCATTCCCTCATCCCAGTTTCTCTTTCCTTTTGGAGTTTCTTCGCATTTCCCAATATCTATTGCACATTCTGGATCTTATTTACTCTTTTAGCTTCTCACAGTAGGGAGACAATACGATGTTTACAAATGTGTGTCTGGTTTATTTCACTTATGAGTATGGTCTTGAGTTGCATCCATTTACCTATAAATGTCTCACGTTGATCCTTCTTTGTGGCTGAGTAGTACTTCATTGTATAAAAAAATCACATCTTTTTTATCCATCCCTCAGTTACTAGGAGGGTAACAAGTTGATGGGCTTTTGGGTTGTTTCAAGATCTAGGAAACACGGGTGCACATATATCACTGTGGTATGATGTTTTTAATTTTCCTGGGAAAATACCCAGAAGGGGAATAGCTGGGTCAAATGGGACCTCCAATCCTAGTTTTCTGAGGAAGGAACAGATTTATGTGAGTGCATTATCTCACACCTTCTGACTTGGCTTCTCCTACTCAGGAAAGCATTAGCAAACAGGAGGAAGTCAGAGAATCAAGTTTATTAACTATTTTAAGTCATAAAGTGTACTTGATCCCCCTCCCCAAGAAAAAAAAACTTGTGGGCTACATCTGAACGCTGTAGCTCCTCCCCGCACCTTCCAGGCTTTCAAGTTATCTGACAGCAACAAGCTCCTGGGTTAGAATCCATAATTTAAAATCAAGCAGCTTGTTTTACCTACACGGCACGAGTAAACTATCTATGAAAGCACGTGCTATGACCTTGGGAATCCGGGCAAATGTATCTTGATAACAGCAGGCGCGAGAGGCATTGAGTCGCCACAGGCAGAGGCGCAGAGGCCCGCGCTTATGTAACTGCCACCCGGCTCAGCTCGCTCACTCCCTGCCTCTCCCTAATCGGGACCTGGCCGCGGCTGGCACGTTCGGTGACTTCAGGAGGAGGCTTGGTTCTGCTTCAATTTAATTACCTCCCCTGGAGGTCTGAACGCTGAGGGCACCTCTGCAGCACGCTGCTCAGGCGAAGGGGCTTCTTGAATGTGACAATAGGGACTGTGCCCCGGAATGTTCCTGCAAGCACATGAACACGACACATTTTTGAAACTCCGGGTGAGCCTTGAGAAAGCTAAGCCACTATCGGGAGAGGCAGGAGGCATGCAGCAGTCAAGTGGCCCGCCAAGCACAGGAGCAGGGGCCAGAGATAAAGAAGGACAGCGCTGGTGACATCCAGGGGCTGTCACAAGCAAGAAAGAGAGAGAGAAGGAGAGACAGAGAGAGAGGGAGAGAAAGAGGTGTGTGTGTGTGTGTGTGTGTGTGTGTGCGCGCGCGCGCGCGGGCGTGTGAGCGCAGTCTTCTACAAATACACAGACATCACCCCCTGATCCTTGCCCTGGCTATCCGGGCACTCCACAGGTGGAAATAAATTCTCAAAGCTTGGCTCAGAGTACCCATATGGAGGCTCTAAACTGCATCCATGCAGGTGGGAAACGCCTCAAAAAGCGTTTTATTCCTGTCCTCCTCCTAAAATAGTGTGAGATACACAGGGGGAGGTAGCTGTCCCCTGGTGGACCAATGGAAAGCTTGGAGCCTGGAAGAAGCTCACTTTGGACCCCAAGCTGTTACTGAGAACAGAGATGCTGGCAATGAATATCACTAAAGGTCACATTCAGGGAAAGAGAAACTTGCCTTGGTATTTGTCATTGTCTGTCACAGGCAAAAAAAATGAGGTAATTAATGAGGTCTTCCAGTAAGGAATTCTCAACCTGCCTGACACTAGCAGTGACTTTCTTCTTGTCTTTTTTTTCCCTAGTTTTTTTTTTTTAAATTTTAACCAAGGTACAGCTGTGATACTTTTGGGGTTTGTCTGAAAGTGAGGCTTTTGCTTTTCCTGTTTTCTGGGATCATGGGATGGAGGAACAGGAGCGTTTCACGTAAATTGATGAACATGTAGTTCAGAGTGTTTAGGAATGAACTTCCCTAAAATTTAACAGATTGTCTTTTACTAGGCTTTCTGGTTCGTTTCTTTCATTCTTTCTTTTCTTTGCATTTTCACAAGTCTTGTGGTTTAGTAAGACCTCAACCAAGAAAGTAAACATGAACCAATGTCTGCTCTCTCTGGCCTCTTGTTTTGAAGGAAAATTCTCAGGCAGAAAAAGTAAGATTTCTAAATGTAGGTAGATGCTCCAAAATTTTAAGTCATAGCAATTTTAAAAGCGTCTATTTTTTAAATCAAAAGGTCATGCCTCGCTATTAAAGAACACATTAAAATTAGAAAAAACCCCTGCAAAATATTCCTTATATCTCACCACTAACAGATAACTACTTTTCCTATGCACAGGAAAGATTATCTTTCTTCTGTAGAATCATGCCATACATTTTGTGTAACCAGCTTTTTTCTTTTTTTTTTTTTTTGGCACATTTGATTCACTGCTGTGGTCCCTTATTTGCTGTAGTTTGATGAAATCACAGTGAAAACATCTTAATCATCACATTAGTTCACAAACTTAAATACAAAAGGAAGGTATCACATATTCCCAGGAATTCTGCATTATTATGATTTCTTTAGCAATAACTAAGTCAAGTTTCTTTCCTTATTCATTAATGAATGTTATCTTTTTATTCCATTAATTTATTTTTGCAGCAGGTTTTTAAAAGTTTCAACACATTGCTCTTTATGTCAATAGCCTCAATTGTATCTGATATTCTAGAACATCTTATTATTGTCTCTTAGTAATTTTCAAATAATACCATTGACTTACTGTCATACCTCACTTTTGCTACTGTAGCAAACAAAAGAATATGTTTTCCTATAGAAGAAAAGTAAACAGTATAGATGGACAGAAAAATACAGAAAGCTTTTGATTCTCTGCTACGATAGTTGAGAGAATGTGGAATTTGACACCTACTAGCTTTGATTGCTTAGATCGGTGCTTTATGTCCTTACATTCTGAAAGAGGGTACCTATGTTTCCCCTTAGAGACTGTACTATACAGTGAAAATGCTGTCCACTTGAATAGACTCCTACCAGATACACTGTTCCTAACAGAAAATTCACATATAAATGAAAGACACACACTTGCCAAGTCATGCATATCCCAAACATTGCCCTCAGACTCTTGGCACGGGTCATCTGGATGCACCCAATGTACTTTTTCTGTCTCAGTGATCCCACCCACAAAAGGAAATACAATTAGATTGCTTCATTATTAAAATATTCCAAACAACCCCCAAGGTATGGAAGTGGGCACCAGTGGAGACACCTTTCTGTAGCCAAGTGTTTTGTTGAGCTAAATGTTCAATATTCCTTTTAAGGGCACTCAAGGACACAATTCATATGCTCAGCGCCAACCCAGTTCATGGAAATTAAGACTTAAAAAAAGACTAGCATTACCTTTGTGTCTGAATCAATGCTCTCCTAAAACATTTTTTGGCATGCCTGAAAATGCAATTTCTAGATTCATCAGATATGCAGCCCCTCACAAAGCACTCCTTTATTTTTGTACTTATGTTCCTTTCTATGAGATGATTAAAAAAAACTCACCTTCATAGAAAACTGGATACATGTCCGTTCATCAACTTGATATGAGACACAAAGCATAAACAAACCGAGATAGGCCACTAAACAGACCTGTAATGGAGAACACAGAATAATAGGTGTTATCAGGGCAAGTCTTAATTCTAATGGTATCAATCTCAGTGTCTTTCACCAGCAACATCCATGGTATTAAGCTGTTTGTCTCATTTCACTTATCTTTCTGTGCTGTGTTTTGTTCCCATTTGTAGAACACAGTTTTAAGACAGTAAAGTCAATTCATTTCAATTTAGCCAGTATTTATTTGCATGCTAGGTGCTACGCAAGGCACTTTGGGGTATACACAGAGATGAATACAATTGTCTTAACTTTAATCAGCTTATAGTTTAGTGCAGGCCAAAATAATTACAGGTACTATTCCAAGGCAGGTCATTAGATATCAAATGTAGTTCAGAGAAGGATAAAAAGAGGAAGAAGTTAAATCTAATCAGGCAGTGTAAAAAGGCTTCACTCAAGATGTGGATTTGGAATAGTCTCGAAAGTCATAATAATAATGATCCCTAATGTGTACTAAATACTACACGCTGGAACATTTCCAAGGGATTTGTGTGTCTCTCCTCATGTAATTGGCACTACACTTTAGAAAGGAGGTGCTATCATGATCCTCATACTGCACATGAAGAAAAGGCACAAAGCAAATAAACAACAGAGCCAGTAGATACAAACTGGGGAGCTTGGGTGAACAGCAGCTGTATGAGCATTACACAGAGGTGAGACCACACAAAGTGCATAGAATAAAGAGCAAGTGCATACCCATAACTGAATTAACTTAGTGTCGAACATAAAAGGTAAGAAAGATGAGGATCGGAGCACGTAGGAGTGATTCAGTAAGTGGTGGAGCTCCTGAGAAAATTTCTGACCAGGGCAATGACATGATTTGACACATTTCAGGGAAATGAGCAGTGCTGTTGGATGGGCTGGGGATGAGGACATGAGGATGTTATTTTATTAATCTGCACAATATTGACATGTCAGGTGGCCAGAGCTCAGAGGGTAGTAGGCAAATTCAGAGAAAAGGTGGAGAAGAAAGGTGTAGCCCAAGCAGAAGGTATGGAGCATGGCTACTGCAGGACTTTTGGGAAGACACTAGAGATGGAGAAGAAGAAAGTGACTTCCAAGTTTTTGAAGGTCAGTGATCCCAAGAGGGTGGCTATGCCTCACTGACAGCACACTGCCAAAGGGAATAGAAGGGAAAATACTTGGTCTGTTAGACAAACTGTATTTTTTTTTTTTTTTTGCATGAGGGGGAGATTTTAAAACTGATTAAGAGTTTCTAATCAAAGCATATCTATTCACATTCAGTTGTGGAAAGTTCAAAATGCCAATAAAGTTCTGTCCTTTAAGACAGAAAATATAAACAACATAGTTGCATTTTCTGGTAAGCACAATTTTCCTGGAGATGGATGTTGGAAAGGTGGCTATGAATCACCTAGCAAATCATTAAAAAACTGGTTTGGTAATTGTCTGTTATTTTTCTCATTGCTGAGACAAAATACCTGACACCTAGTGTTAAAAGAGGAAAGGTTTATTATAGCTCACAGTTTATAGAGGTTTCAGTTCATGCTGGCTAGCTCCAAGGCAAGGTGGCATGGCAGAAGGGCATCTCAGAGGAGAAACAGTTCATGGTGGGCAGAAGGCAGCAAAGCACTAAAGTCACAGGCAGTAAGTGGTCACAGTGACAACAGCAGCCTTCTTCCCATCCCTTATATTTTATCCAGGCTAAACACCCCCTTAGGGTGGGTGGAGCACTCACACCCAGGCTAGGCCTTCCCATTCTTCACACTCAGAACTATGCCAAACCAGTGGGCTAATTTAGTAATCACACACCCTTATCCCAGCATCACACACTCTAGATCCAGCCACCTCTGAAAAAGCCCCCCATATGACTGTGTGAGGCTTTGTAGTGACATCTGGACAGAAACCATAACAGTAATATTCATAACTCCCACCTCTAGGGCCCACTTCTAGCTACAGACAATCTTAGTTAGGGTGGTAGAGCTGGTAACTTAAAAGGCAACATAACAGTTTAAAGTAGTATTTCTATTCTACTCTTTCTTCAGTTAGATGTTCAATACCCTGCCTGTACCCACATCTCTTCCCAAGTGGAGGGTGGTTTTCTATGGGCCCATGAAGCCAAAAGCAAAGACTAAAAGAAAACTTGGCATACTGGCTTTTTCCAAGGTTTCCATCATTAGGACTAGCTGCATGGTATAATAGCAGCAGATAACATTTCCCGTAGAGAGACACAGCACTAAAATAAATGAGCATGGCATGGGTTGAAGAGGTGTGGATGGAAAACAAAGCAGATCAGACCCCAGGAGGCAGGTTTTCAGTGCAGGGCTGTCAGGTGCAGATGATATGATCATGAAGGTGTGTGTATGGCCCATAGGTGGTTGACATTTCCAAGTCAGGGATGAAGTTCTTTTTAAAAACACATTTAAAAAGATACCAAATCAAGGTATAAGCTTGATAAGATCTATTAGGATTTACTGCATATTCTCACACTGAGGATTCAGAAAGCTGAATAAAAGAAAGACCTCTTTTTTGTACATTGGTAGCAAACCAGGTCAGGGTTCTAAACATGCTTCTATAGCGATCATCATATCCGCAAACATATGCTGTGCTGCCTCTTTGGTTTATGTCTGTAGGTACACAGGATAAGGGTCTCTGTTACATAATAGTTTGTCCCCTAGAGACTGCTGTGCTGAATTTGACAACTGCCAAGACTTTCTCCCCTGTCTTTATGAGAGATACATTCAAATAATCAGGCCTAGCTGATCAGCATTTTTAAAAATCTGATTCAGTGCCACTGCTTGAACAAAATTTCCCCTTTTTGCAGTAGCTATTTCTTTGTAGCCTTCATTTAGCCTGGGTTTCCAGCAAGATGTTGCACAGAAATGCATGACCTCATTCTAGAGCATTTCATTTATTCAGTCGGCAGAATTTTATTGAAGATATACAATAGCCAGACCCTGTGCTATTGTATGACTCTGGGAAATAAGAGACGAAAAATATAGTCAATTACACCAAGGACTATCCAGCCTCCAGGATCTCTTATTCCAGTGGGGAAAGAGAGGGGAGCGAAGTTACAATATAATACAGCTAGTACAACCATGTCTGCTGTAGGAATGCACAGAAGGGACTGCTAACCTGAAGGAGAGTTGGTGGAGGAAGATGGATTTTGAAGGCTATGCAGAAATTAGCTACAACGAAGGTGTGAAGAAAGGTATTTTGGGCAGGATGAGCAGTGGTAGTGCAAAGACATGGGGAAATGCAAAGTGAATATTGTAGAGTGAGACAAAGATGCTTTTTAGAGCAGCCCACCTGGCTATGGAGAATGCAACGAATGGGGGCAAGATCTGGGAAGGGAAAAACTGCTAGGAAGCAGTTCTTCTCCTATGGAGAAATGAGAGTGCAAGCGGTGGAGGTGAGGATGGAGAGACGGGTGGCCGTTGAACCCACAGGCTCTAAAGCTGTGAGGCTGAAGAAGAGGGAGGCTCTGGAAGGCACTCAGCGGCCTACCTGACCTGCACGTGCAGGTAGACGGTGTTGACATTTCAAGAGATGCAAGATGGAAAAGAAACAGCAGAACAGGAGTGGGGAATGGCGCTCACACCTGGTCTCAAAGCTCAGCCATCTGGGCCTAGAGCTCAGGAACAAGGTCTGTGCTGGCAATGAGGATTTGTTAGTCAGCAGCATACATGAAAACTATTGAAACCACAGGAAACGCTGGCCCACCGTAAGAGCATGAAAATAGAAAGGGATCCAAGGCTAGCCATCTAAGAAGAACCTTGGCATCTTTGGAACAGAAAGCTCAATCTTTTGAAGAACATATATCTTAAATATACTTCTTATAATTTTGGTTGCATATCATGTCTTATCTAAAATGTATTATTAAATTGGCTATCCTTTAGGATTTTTGAAAACTTCACTTCTAGGTCTTTGTGTCCCCTTGCTATAAAGCTTGAATTCAGATTTTAATTCCTTAGCCATCTGATAGGACTTGATAAATTCTCAACAGTGGCTTCTTTCTTACCCACAGCTTTGCATGTTACAGCCCAGCTTTTTTTTTTTTTTCATCAGAGAGTTTACGGTGTTGAGCATAAGCATGTTCTAGTATTCACTGGACACTTAAAACTGAAGGCAAAGCAAATCTCCCCTGCCAGATTAAGGGTCTTACTTCCTGACCTGGCAGAACATGGGCATGTCAGGAAGACATGGTGTTCTGCCTTCCCGGGCAAGGGAGGGAGAGCTCCTTGTGTTAATGAGCAGTGAGACCAGCCAGACCTTTCTGGCACGACATTCCTGGAATCTGGGCCAGAGCTCCCATTAGATATGGTGAGGTGAGGCCTGCAGAACAGGAAACAAGCAATTACGTGAGGTTTTCAAGAAGGCCTTTGTCAGACCAGACACCCAGGCCTGAGGTGGACAGGTGGTGTCCTAGAGCACAAAGCCAAGAGAGAAAGGCGTGGCCTTGAAAACCAGAGCTGAGAAGGCAGTAGGGTAAGCAGCATTTAAGAGCTCAGAAAAAGTCCTCATCTGATTGGATAATTCTGTTGAAAAGAAAAGTTTGAAGTAATTTCTTTAATGGAAAATATAACAATCATCATTTTAACCCATTTTTGGATACGTGTTTCTACAATTTTAGTGTAAGGAGAAAACATAAGTCCTGAATTCTGCTTTCTGTCTAAAGATGTTTTTTGTTCATCCTGGGTGAGGCCTGCAGTTTCTTGTGAATTAGAGACTTAAACAGGCTGAAATGTTCTCTGAATGTTAACTCCGTTTCTAGATGTAGGAGTCCTGCGTCTTGTCACACATTGGCTTTGTTATTTATTTGGCCTATTGCACCTGCAATGGTGTCTTTTAAGTGACAGTACTATGGAGAAAAAGTGGATTCAGGGCCAGCATCTTGGGGATTTACCTACATTTTCTCCCCTTTTCATTTTGCCATAGCTAAAAGGTATCACTCCAAACATTTTGTGAGAATCAGAATTATTGGTATTTACTTCTCACCATGTCACATGTATTTATATTCT